GGGTACATTGTGACTTGAGGCTGCTGAAGCAGCTCCAATTCTGAACGAGTGACCAGAAAACCCTGTAGGGTTGAGGCCGAGTCGGATGAACAAGGTTCTGACGTACTGAATGAACTTGGCAGTTGTTAAGGGGAAACCTTGTAATGATAGTAGTGGGGCGTTTTGACTGAGACCTGAGAGAGTAGCCAAGAAAGTGTCAAATACTACAACGGGGCACCACTGATTGCCGGTGGGATAGTAGCAGATCTTGGTAGGTGGGCCTATTTGATTGGGTTTAGTGTGACCTAGGGTGAGTATGTAGTGATCTGTGTGTTTCTGGAGATTTGTAATTTTGAGGGGTTGATTTTGACACGAACCACTATTGGTGGTGAACTCGTTTGGTCGTAAAAACCCATAGAAAGCTAGGTAAGTCGCTGTCTTAATAACTAGGTTGGTATGGGTTTCAAAAGGTTTGGAGTCCAAGATATTGGAGAGTGCGCGAAACTTGGGACCGTCTATGGGAAGTCTGGCAGAGGTAGTGGGTGAGTCTAATCTCAGTATGCCTTTTAATATGTTTTTCACGGGGTAGGAAGACATGAAGGGTTTAGAACTAGGGTAGGCACTGATGATATGATGTTGTATACCTGAGAGATATAGTTTAATGGTGTTCAATGATAATTTTAGGTTAAGGTGGCAGAAAGAAATAAATGCAATAATGGAATCTAGAGAATGAGTGTCAGTTATCTGATGTTGTGTCGTGAATTTGGTGTATATGGTAAAAGCTCGATTGTATGCACGAGATGTGTTTGTGGATAGGGCTGCTCCGGCTAGATATCTGCTGTGAGATAACAGTCTTTCTAGTCCAGGATGAGGTCTTGGAATGGAGGGGTGCTGACCGGTCTGGAGTTGGCTGTGGGGTGTGTCCTGAAGAAGACCTGTAAGTTAAATCGAGACAATGCATCAGCGGCTGTGTTGGTGTTTCCTGGAATGTGGACGCATGTGATGTGAAACTGTAGTGTTGCCGCTAACCAAGTTAGCCTTCGGATCAATTTCATGATGGTGAGTGAGGAGGATCTACCCTTGTTGATTATGTCACAGGCTGGTTTGTTGTCGGAAAAGCATTTTACTGCTTTCCCCCGCCATAAGTGTCCCCATACTCTGGCGGCTGCAACAATCGGGTAGATCTCAAATAGGGCAGATGTAGTGGGAAATGAGGGCAAACCTAGGGTTTCTACTGGCCATGAATCTCTGAACCAGTCATTGCGATAGATAGCTGCAAACCCAGTGTGAGCTGCTGCATCGGTCCAGATGACAGGTGAGGAATCTGATAAAGGAGTGATAAACATGGCTTTTCCATTCCAATGAGTTAGGAACCGTAACCACATGAGTAGATCTGCCTTGGCGTGAGCATCTAGTGATAACGTGCTGAAGTCAGTATTGAGTAACGGGAGAAGGCACAACAATCTCGAGATGAACGCCCGGCCTTGAGGAATAATTTTCATGGCGAAGTTCAGCGTGCCCAATAAGGATTGTAGGTCTGACCTGGTACACGTGTCCTTCACCAGAAAATATTCTACCATTTCAATGATATGTTGCACCTTCTCCCGTGGTAGACTAGCCTGTAAAGTGACGGTGTCTAGGTGAATACCCAAGAACGTAAGTTTTGTGGTAGGGCCTATTGTCTTTGATGGAGACAGTGGAACCCCCAACGTTGAAAATAGGGCCAAGGTCTTCTGGAGACTAACTGGTGAGGATTGAGGTGATTCTATCGTAAGGAAGTCATCCAGGTAGTGCAGAACTGCGGGACAGTGAGTGATATTGAGGAGTAGCCAGCATAGTGTGTCAGCAAATATGTCGAATAATTTTGGGCTACTTTTAGCTCCGAAGGTAAGGCGGGTGGCAAAGTAGTAATTGTTTTCCCATTTGATGCCGTGCACATGCCACAGGGATGGGTGGATTGGTAAGAGCTTAAAAGCGTTGGAAATATCGGTTTTCCCCAACCAGGCTCCCGCACCTGCCCTAAGAATGGATTGAATGGCATTGTCTACAGAGGTATATTGCAGGGAAAACTCTTCTGAAGGTATCAATGAATTGATGCTGGGGGTGGCTAAAGAATGAGGAGCGGACAAGTCGTAAATAAGTCTTTTTTTATTATTGAACTTCCCAGTGGTGATACCTATAGGGTTGGTACGCCAGCTGGTGAACGGAGGGTGAGCGAAGGGGCCCAAGATAAACCCGTTAGTAAGTTCGGTCTTGAGCAGTGACTGTGTGGAGATTGGGTCAAGGATAGCTGACTGTAAGTTGGGACATTCGAGAATACCTGTGGGAAGTGTGACTAGACCCGTGTGGAAACCCTCAGTGAAGCCTTGAATGAGGAAGTTGACTAAGTGAAGGGAAGGGTGTGCCTGGAGGTAAAATGCCAGGTTGTCGATGCTAACTTCGGTTAGTCATTGTTTTGGGTACAGACGATTGGGGCACATAGTTTTTGCATGTGCCCTGAAGCAAATTGAGCAGACGTGCAGCAGTCTGCATGAGCTAAACCCACAACTTCCTGAATTGAAGTTGTTGCAGATCTGTGCTTTCCCAAGGTATACTATGGGTCTACCCAGTTTGTCCTTCAATCCTCTGTGTTCTGCCGTGGCGGAACCGAAGGTAGCACGACTAGTGGTAGGAAGGTTAGGATCGACTGGGCACAAGTTGGTGGAGTGTGAGATGGAGGCGCACAGGGCACAGGATGGAGGTTTTTGGCCAGCGAAATGGCGGCAAAAAAGTTCTGTATCCAGGTTACTCCAGTTGGTATGAGTGTTAAATTGAGTTAGGGATGCTGCCGCCTTGGCCGAAAAGGATTTGTGATAATCATAGAAGGAAAAACCCCCATACTTATGCCCTAGGTCCACCAACTTGTGCATGTACAGGTCCAATTCCTCCCTACGGTGCGGGGATGTGGAACAGATTACGTCACGGTAGAGGCCGAAGGCAAGGACAAATTCAGGTATGGTGAGTTTCCGGTTGAGCCTGGGATCTCTGGCTTTTAGCACAACCGAAAGATCACCGTAGCAGTATGCCTTGTTTTCCACTACGTCTTGTGATGCGATCAGCAGAGATACGAGGTTTACGTCCTTGCCTTCTAGAATGTCTTTGCGTATTGTCGGGGGTACAAAGTGTGCAGGTGTGATGATGTGGGTGGATGTGCTTGGTATAGGGTTTAAGGGAGTGTCATTACCGTGAGGGAGGAGAGACGAAGTGAGGGTTGGTATGGGTGAGGTGACTGTCGTCATCTGCGGGGTTTCTAGCTTATCCAGCCTAGCGCTGATTGTGGTAATTGAGGTCAAGAGGGATGACATCAGACCCTTGATCTCGTTGTAGTTTTCCGAATGCAGAACTACTCCTGGTTGGGGAGTACACGTGTTAGATATGAAAAGTTTGTAAAGTTCGGCTTTGCGGGCTGTAGCTGGAAACGGGACCCCCATGCGACGTAATTCGGCTGCGAGCTTGGGGATGGTCCATGACCTGAGAGCGTATGGGCTGGCTGATTCTAGGTTTTCAGTGGGTGTGCTTGGGCCCGCCGGGGTTGCAGGTCTGGTTGGGGTTTCAGGTATGGCCAGCTCTTCTTCTTGGTCATGGGATTGAGACATACTAAAATTAAAAACAGGGTAAGAGACGGAGTTTGATAATGAGCGAAGTTGCCTGAGTCAACTGGTGCTAGCTATGCCCATAGGCGAAACATTAACTATTCTATAAGGAAGGTGAGGCCCTGCTAGTGCCAAGAGGCGAGAGAGGCTCTATCTATGCGGAGGGCCGGTTGGACGGGGACCACTTTAATGATGTGGCGGGAACGTTGGCCTCTCGGTGACTGTAACAAGAAAAAAGGATTAAATTGGCTGTGACTGGTGAGGCCCTAACTAGTAACCAAGGGTGGTTTTCGTGAGGCTCTATCTATGCGTTGGGCCGAGGGGCGTATACCTCCGATGAGGATGGGTGTTGGCCTCCAGGAATCGTTTAATTTACAATATGTTAGCTAGGGGCCGTACTCTAAAATCACCAGTTGACCGCCCTGTTTTTTTTTTTTTTGAGTCGGGGGGAGTAATAGTGGTGCGACCGTACCTATTTGTTTGACGTACGAGATTCGACGTAGAATTTGGAGGATATTTTATTTGGAGTCTGTGGAATAAAACAGGTGGTTAAGGGCGGCTAAACTGGTTCGGGATTTGAACGTAAAATGTTTTATTTATTTATATATATATTTTATTTTTTTTTCTACCTGGTGATGCTGTTAATAATGGTGCTGTCTAGATGATAGCTTGAACGCCAGTTGGGGTAACAATCTGAGGAAAAGCTAAAGTTATCTCTTGTATTCCCTTAGATATACATACAGGCTTAAGGACAAAGTGAAGCGTAAATTTATAAATCTAATACATGCAGTAGGCTAGGGATGGGTGTCCGATGCTAGTTCCAAGTATCAGGGAAGGTGTTGAAAATAGATTTTTATAGATGAACCAGAAATGAATCCTGAGGAGATGGCGTAAGGAGTTAAGTAATGAACCTCATATGAAGAACATGGCAATGGACAGGACAACCTCTTGTATGGGGTAGATTATTTCTTACCGTATGATCAAAGACAGAGTGTGTCTTTGACAGGTATATGTCTGATGAGGTTAAGGTGTTGCCGTTAGACTGGGTACGTTTTTAGAAAATACCTGTATAGGTGACAGGTAACGAATATAAGCGTAGGTAATGTTGGCAAATAAAACATGAGTGACAGAATTTATGGTATTCAGTGTATTGTCGCTTTTTTTTTTTTTCCAAGGGAGAAGTAGGAACAGACACTATTAAAAAGCATAACATTGTGTAAAATATGTATTGCCGTCAGGGGTCGTTCTGAGCAGCCGATGTGTACCAGAAAACAGAAACATATAACATTTCAGAGAACAGAAGTATATATACAATGGTGTTTTGTTTTTTTTTTTTTTTTTTCCACCAGGGGGTGTAGTGAGCAGCCATGCGTATTAAAATTTTTAAGTTCAACCGGGTGGCCCGTTTACCGACCAGCGTTGGAGGGTAAGTGCCATGGGGGAGAATGTGCCTGTGGAGTGCGGTACCGAATGAAGCTCGGAGCGGTAAGGTAAGTATAACTGACAGTCCTTAGTGACAGGTGTGTAAAGTGTGAATGGACACCAGGCGTCTGGCTGAGAGTGGTGTGGATGAGACTCACGGTTCTGGGACCCTGGAGTAGGTAAGTATGTTTCCTGCTCCTGAAAACCGCCGTGGGTATGGCTGAGGAGGATGGGAGTTCGCCGGAACCGCGATAGAAAGCTGGACTGGAGCGCTTGATACCGGGCACGGAGACCGCCGGGCTTGTACCGAACTGGATTAGCAGGGGGCACTTCGACTGGAGCGGACCACGTGGGAGCGATATGCCGGTGAGTTTGAACCGGAAGTTCAAAGGTTCTGAATGAACCCAGCGATTCCAGTATAGGTTTGGCTGGGGCCTGAGCTTTTATAGCCGGGTAACCCCTCCCACAATTTCAGGCTACGCCTTACTATATATACAAAGTAAGACACGTGGTGATCCTAAGCCTCCCCCCGGAGCTTGCATATATAAAAAATTGTAAGTTTTTTAAGTTATCACATGTAAGCCATAGTTAGAGAGATGCATCAAGTTTACCTATTGCTACTAGCCCCATGCGTGGAAAGGCATATTGGTCGTAGTCCGACCGGGATCCATTTGAATTCTACCGTTCCTAGGTCGGAGACTCAGTAATCATTATACAGGGAGTTACAAATAAAGAAAGCGATATATACATAAACAAAAAAGAAAATAGAAAACATGTGTCTCTATTGTAATTGTTCAGTTTCCCTGGGGGTGGTGCCCCATGACCCCCACATAGCATGCCCTAGCGTTACGCTTGACTTCACAGGACTCACGGCTGATTGGTGATTAACTTAAGGGGCTCTTACAGGTTGTAATGGGCTTGGGTCCCCGGTTTTGGTTACTGCAGTCCAAGGCTAACAGTAGTGGGGGAGCTTCTGTGTTAAGGGGCTGTGGTGAGATTTGCAGGTGGTGACCCACCCTCTGAGGTGCAGCACAATGGTCCTTATGGTCAACAAGCCAGAAAATCTAGCAGTTAGGCTATAACAAGGGATAGAGGTACTATAAGAGTTGGTGTCCCTTTATGTGGAGTAGAGCCTAGGCAGACCATGGTTGAGGTATGACTCCCAGTGGTTGTAACTTGTTGGGCCCACGTAAGAATGGGTATCATGGTGAGTTCAGAATGGGAGGTTAATAGTCTTACTGAGAAGCAGCAAGTCAGGGCCTAGTGCACATGAAGTGGGAATGGATCTTCCGTGGTCCCACACCCGCCTTCAGTTAAAATGGGTGGGGCTTGGGTAGTGGTCTCTATTTGAAAACATACTGTTGTATGTAGGATTTATATTACTCAAGGACTTTCTATGCCCACTTACTTTGGCTCTACTCAAGTCCACATTCTTTGTTGAGCTGTAAAAAGTAGAAACATTTTGTAACTACTGTGGGGGATAATGTGGCTACAAAGTAAAGATAATGGATGAGTTTCGAGAGAACTAACAGGGTTTAATATCAAACAGGGTGGAAACACAACATTCGTGGGGAGTTGATGAAAAACTTAAAACATTAAAACAGGAGTCTAAAATCACGCAACTTTGATCCCAGACCGCAATCTACTAAAAAGTTTTTATTAACTTCTATTCATATTCAAAAACATCTGAGACTTCAGAAAAGCTTTGGACATTTCAGTGCAGTCAGGCAAAGCACCAAAAACTGTTATGCAGCATTTTAGGGAACATTAGGGAGCATATAATTCATGCTCATATTGAGCTCATTTGCTGAAATAGCATACATAGTTTCCTTAAAAGGTAACTAGTTAGAACAAAATGTAAAATAACTTCAATATAAATTCACACACTAACACAATAGTGTAGGGCGTGCCAATTCTAACAAGCAGCCATCTGTTCACTTAGTGGGTTACCCGCTAACCCACTACAAAAGAATACTACTCCTAAACAACTTGCAAACAAATTGAGTGGCGCTTCACTTGCTTTGTGTGCAAGTTGTTTAAGAGTTTAAATTTATACACTGTTTAGAAAATGATCAACATTAGAGAAAAAATACTTGAATTTGCTACAGAAAAAAATACAAAATGCAAGAAAAATGCAGAAACGTGACCACTAAAACAAAAATGTAAATATAAATTTCAGTGAAAGCACATAGTCTAAAGATTTAATACATTTACAGTGCTATTTGCTAAAATTATAATTGTTGTGAATTCATAGTAAATTCAAATAGAATTTCAAAAAAGCTGAAACTGAAAGACTCTCTTTGTCAGCAATGTTTCTAATTTGGCTAATTTGGTTTAAAATGATAAATTCTCTTATCATAGCATATCATTTCTTGTCAGTGCCTGGCAGACAGCAGTTTGGGTTCCCTAGCAAATTAGATACTCCAGACAGGGATCCCCCCACACTTTACTTTGTGAGCGGACTTATTGCAGCACCAAATTTGACATATCATTGCTGCTATAAGTCAGTCTCAGTACTGAGTGTGGGCTTAGAGTACTCTAAAAACATGTAATTTGCAATAATGCAACATTTGTATTGTGTTTAGACTGACTTGTTAATTTTTAACAACTTTGTGAGTTGTGAGTTTCTCTGTGTATATGTGTGTCAGAAAGTGTCTGTGTGTCTGCAGTACTATATTTGCCGTGAGGCAAACAAGGCATTTGCCTTGGGTGGCACTTCCCCAGGGGATGGCAAAATACACCGTCCCCAAATGCCCAGGTAAATGCCTTGTTAGCCTTGGGGCAGGCGGCTAGCTGAGCTCCAGCTCACAATCTGGCTCCTGGAATCACTCTGAGCAGGGAGAGCTCAGAAATCAGCACTCCCTTGCCGCCCACCTGGACCTCAACTGTCCACCCGTGTGGCTGCACACCTGCCCAAACAGCCCAGCCAGCAGCCTATCTGGGCCCCTGCTAAAAAAAATCCACCCATCTCTCCCAAAAGGTAGGGAGGCTGGGTGGATTTAAATTAAAAAAAAAAGAATAATCTGTGAGTGTTGGGGGTGGGGGGTAAATGTGTGTGTCTCTCTGTCAGATCTTAATGTGTTGAATTATAAAAAATTCTAAACCCTTAGCATTACCATTGTGATGTTCAATAAAATGTTTGGACACAAAATGGTTGGGAAATGTTCTTTGGATGTTGTATATATGTTCCCTGATCCGTGTCTTCAGAGGACGTGATGTCTTCCCTCTGTATTGTAATTGACAGGGACATATTAACATATATACAACATCAGTAGCTTTTATTAAGTGTCTCAGATATATGTGAGTCTATCCATTTTATTTACTATTTTAATTATTCAAACGTTTTTACCCTATGTTTGTTTTTTCTGTTTTGTCTCTGCAGGAATTTATAGGACATAAGGGTAATATATCTATACTGTTTGTTGTGTGTGCTCTCACCATTTACATTACTATTGTATTTGTATATATAAATAGTATGTTTGTATCTTTTTGGTAAATGCACCTGAGGAAGACCTGTCATGGGTCAAAACGTGTACTGCTTTATATTTTTTTCACCTCTCTATTTGTTGTGTTTTAGTAAAGTGTATTCATACTTACCTATTCGGTTCCTGACCCTCAATTCAGAAGCATAGCACCAAGGAAACCATATACTACATCAACCTGAGAGTATTGAAAATACCAACAGAGTCCAGAGCCAACCTTGAGGGCTCTTTAATTCTTGAGTGTCCATTTTTTTGACATTCTTTATTTTTGTTGCAACTCAATGGTGGTACAATTTTAACATTGGTAATTGACACATTTTAACAAACTGCAATAAACTCGTATACCGTTTAGGATTTTTCAAGAACCTGTACTTGTCAGTAGGGTAGAGTTGATCTTTTCAGTGGGGTTCAGGGCAGTCCCTGGGCAGGTCAAGGTGGGTTCTTGGTATGGGCCTGCTTGTGCATACTGAGTTAACTAGTGTTTGACCCCGAGTCCGTGTGGGCCCACCGTTTAGTTCTTTAGGCTATATGGCGTAGCCACGCTTCTCCGGTCGGGTGTGTCACCCCTCCTCATGTCAGGGGGCCTGGCCCTTTATGCGAGTGTACCCCCTTGAAGCCGAACCCAGTCAATATCTATTCCTTGGTGACATCATTTGTAGTTTGGGGCGCCCGAGTTGGGCTTTGGTGCGCCTCAGCCACATTGGGGGGGTTCACCCCAGATGAGCGGTCTTTCTTGAGTGTCCTTTATACTGTTTATGCGGATACCACGTTATGCTGTCTATGGTGTTTTTATATTTCTTTTAATAGATTTCACCTTACTTACCTGTATTGCTGTGACCTGCAATCTCCATTTGTGTGCTATCACCTCATTGTATACTCCTTATTGTGTTTATGTTTGTGAGCAAGTGGTATTTGTATGGACTGGGAGTGAACAGGTTTATACCCACTCCCCTTTCTCTGTACATCCCTTTATTTTGTTATACACTCTTTCTCCTTTAAATATCTCTCCAAAACCCTTAATTTCCCCTTCTCCTTCCCAATAATTCCATTTAAACCCTGTTCCCTTGCCTTTCTCAAGGCACAATAATTGCACTATTCCGATTTTTCACAGATTTATTCCATGAACTATACTTCATTTCTGTGTAGCAGTACTGAGCACTTCGTGGAGAATTGTTTGGGTTTTTCTTCCAGCCCGGTCTTAACAAGGCAGTTCCTGTGTGTGACAGAGCAGGCATATGATGTCACTCATGACAGCCAGGAACCAGAACTCTAGACTGGGGTTGAGCAAGGATGAAGGGGCTTCTTACTGCAGATGGCTAGATCATGTGTAATTAAACACAAACGGGCCATCAAGTCCCTCAAGCCCTCAGTCCATGACCAATGGTGTCTGAGTTCTCCTCCCACCTCCCTACCTCCCCCCCCCCAGTTTATTGTTCTTTCCCCTGGTTGGGAAAATGGCAACATGCAAAAATGAGAAAAAGGGCAAAAAGGATAGTCCATTTAAGTGTATGCAATAAAATTAGAGGATCCAAAGGATCAATGGCTTACTATTTATTATACTGTAAGTGCTATTGCTCTATTTCTACAACTCGAAGCCTTATTACCCCAATATTAGAATACCAGCCACTAAAACATCAATATGTTTCATATCTTGATTGCTTTCATTAACTTTTATTCAATCACAGACCAGGATATCCATTTACTATCGCATCTCTTTTGCTTCTAGACACTGTTTTTACTTTCCCTAATTTTGGCCTTCTTATGCCTAATCATTTTAAAAATAAACCACTTCACCACACTTAAAGACATTTATGCAACTTAGTGCCCAATCTCATAAACTCTTTTTCCACTGG